AAATAATAATTTTCAATATTTCTTTCCTGTTTCGAAATCGGTAATCAAAGGCTAATTCATCAAAATGTTTTTGACTTTCTTTCGCCTTTGTATTTAAAATGGGGACCTATACCTACCATATTTTCTTGCAGAATCACTGGCTTTGTACTTGAAGGATTCGAAGTCATTTCTATAAATTTGCATCTTATATTTGTCTCTGCTAAAGCTCTAAAAAAATAAATCGCATTTTTATAAAGTTTTAGATGCATAATTAGTGTTATTCAAAACACGGCGCATAAATTCGCGAAAGGAATACGAACGTTAGAACAAAAACTTAAAAAATAACTTTTTACTGGTTCTCTGTAGTTTTTCAAAAATTATTATGATAGATATCATTAAATTATCGTTATTATTTGCAGTTTGGCAAATTAAGAAAAAACGGTAACTGACCGGCAGTACTTTTTTTTTATGTGTCGAAACCCCCTCGGGATGTCACCCACCGGTTTACGGCAGGGTGCTCTGTCGATATCGGACCGACTAAATCAACACGGTGTGCCCCTCTGCGCCTGTAATAGGAGGGATCCAGGAACTGCTGTTTTTAAGACATCCGGACCCCTCCTAGCGCCTGCCTGTAACGGCGCGGGCACCACCTTCGGGTAAATTCTCTATTTAGGTGACGTCCGGCACACGCTGACGTTGCCTCCTCGCGGCTAGCCGATATAGCGGGCAGTAACCTCGTATGGCTCTATCCGCCAATATCCTCTGAGGGCGCCAGAGGCGTGGCCTATTCTGGGCGGTCAAAGCCGCCGCCCATACCGGTGCACCGTACAGTGCCATTGACCGGACAACCCCCGTGTACAGTCGTCTTGGGTAAAAGTCGCCCTAGGGCAGACGCAGTACCGACCAGCTTTGGAGCAAACTGTCGGAAGTGGAGGATCAGACCCAGATACTTCATCTGGGCCTGAACCGGTACGAATATCAGGTTGACCACGATTGAGGCGCCAGGGGGTGGACCACCACGGGGCCCATGGAATGAGAGGGCCTCCGTCTTATCCAGGGCCACCCGTAAGCACAGCGCCGCAATGCGCCCGACCACCAGAGAGACTCCCGTGGAGTTCGCCCACCGGTGTGACTAGACTGTCATCAGCGTAAGAGATTACGCCCAGCCCGGGGATAAAGTGACTTTGAAGGGCTCAGACGTACCCTACGTTCCACAGGAGTGGTCCGTGAACTAGCGTCGAACACCTCCCTGAGGCGGTCTGACATATGGTCGATGGCTAGGGCCATCACTAGAGCAGGTATCCAATCTGGTCCGGGGCCGGTGTTCTTGGAACGGATCCGTAGTACAACCGCCCCTACCTGCGCATCCGTGACGGACGGAAGATCACCCCCATAATCCCCGTCGCCTCCGGCCAAGGCCATCGCTGGGGGTGTGTGTTCCGCCCGTTGCGGGAAACCCCTCAACTACTTCCTGCAGGAAGCTGGGCTGGAGAGTCTCCGTAAAGGGGGAACTTCTGTCGCGCCGCGAGATAAGGGCGACACCAGGGGTCACGATCGAGAGCCTTTAGCATGTCATTTCTTTTTTCTGGTTTGGCGCGGCTAATGACCAGCTTCAGAGTTTTCCACACCTGTCGGAGGAGTACTCCTCATGAAGCTGATCCTCCTCACCGTCTGCACGGCGATGCCGCCTACTGCGGGTTTAGGACCTCCGGGCACGATGACCGGCAGTACTACCTTAAAGTCGTGTTACAACTTATTTTATTTACATTCCAAAGGTGTGAAAATTTTCAGCTCATTCAATACGAGGTTTGGTGGTTAAGGTCCTTGGCCCCCGTAAGCTTGGGGGCCCCGGTGCGCAGCACCGTCTAGCCCTTGGGTATCTACGCCACTGCTATAAGCTAAGTAAAAACAATAAACATACTTATTATTTATGGTTACATTTGCACAACAAAATTAATGTGTGCCATGAACTACATATTTTTGTTATCACTCTTATGTATTCTCATAGCGACTAATGTTGATAAAAACCTTCATTCATAAGCTTAAAAATACATATAATTTTGCCGTCGTGATGTCACGATGTCCTTGCTTTTGTTACCGTTAATTGCTTGGAAGTGGAGCAATCGGAACAAACTTGTTTTATAGGTACTCCTATCTAGTTTTAAGTTGCAAAGGATGTCTTGTGTTTATATCGTTTCGTAAGTGCAACAAGTTGAGGAGCCTGTTCTAAATGTCGGCGTTTATCCACAAACGAGCACGTTGAACTAAACTGGACCACTATTGCCGTTTATAGTGATATGTCACTAGTAACGCAATAACATGTGGTTGTTAATTCGCCAATTTGTTGATGAATACGCTAAGAATTTATTTGTTCAAATGAAACGTTTGTCCTACCAAGCTATAAAGTTAGATTTTGAAAGAGACCAAAATACATACACATACGTTTATTCACGAAGGGATAGACAGAGACGTTTTAAAATGCCCACACTTTGCTGACTATACATAATTTATTCCCACTTACGTAGTGGGGGGTAAAACTATCGCCGTACACGCAACCACGCCGCACATATATATCTCAATAAACATATTTATATATTTATACATTCTTATCTTAGAACGATGTGTTTTTATTTGTATAAGTATTATTCATTACGATTATTTGGTACATTCTTGTATTTTCTTTAATTCATGTTCACGTTACATATAACATAATACTGCCTGAGGTTAGGCAGAGGTCAGGATGGTCGATGGTTTAACTATGGGTTTTTATTTATATAAATATTTAATACTGTTCATAGTAATGGCAACATTGTGTCTGCAACGCTATCTTGACGGGGAGTTCTAGGCGGGAATTTGAACTGAAAGGGCGGAGGATTTTAGACAGATTCCCGCCTAGAATCCCCATTTGAACATTGAAGTGAAGTGAAAATAGTGAAGTTATCTATCAAAAATGAAGACTTGGCTTAAAGGTCTTATTACCAGGCCATAAAAATACAATAATAAAAAGCTATCTTGACGGGCGGCAATAAACTGCGGTGCGCCGTAAGATCGCACGTGATTACATGTTGAGTTTGATTTGATTCAAAACGTACTAGTTTACAATCGTTTTTACACCTACATGGAAAAATGTAAGTCAGAATCCACTTTAAAAAAATGCCTTAAGCAGATACAAACAATATGTAAGAAGAAGTAAGAAGTAAATTAATTTATTATCGAATCGACTTTCACAACACGTATACTCGTATCTTAGTCAACTAATAATCTCACGACTTGATTTAGAAATCGGTTAATATCGTTTAGATAATAATCTAAACGTTATTAACCGATATTTTATATATATATATCTATATATATATATATATATATATATATATTTATGTATATATATATATATATATATATATATAACATATATATCAAGTTATATCTTATTATAGATACCATACCATCCAATTACCACTAGAATCGTGCGAAACCCTTTAAATTTTACAGCCCCGACAACGTTTTTTAGCTTATTTCTTGATTTTTAAGACTAGTCTATGAGAGTTTTATATGATGAAATTTCAATAATAATTCTAATGAAACATTGCAGATTTTGTTAATTAATAAAGACCAACCATATCTATATATAACTTATCAACTACTTAATAAAGCATTCATAATAATAATATCATTGGAGATGTGCGTAACCTACTTTAGCTCATTCAGCATGTTTTGCGCAGCATGAAGACTGTTGCAGCTGCCGCGCTACATTCTACCAAGCCGATCAAGCACCTATTTGGCTTGGCACCGACTTCAAACAGACTAGAAGGGACTATTGCTATTATAATGTTAACTGTTATGTTGTGGGTACTTTTTATAGTTTTTTACTTAGATTTGTAATAACTTTTTAATTTTTAGTGCTCTGAGTCAGTATTGTTTGAGGTCGGGTAAACTTTTTTTTAAAAGGATTTATGTGATATATTTATAAAACGTCAATCTAACCGCTTTAGTAATCGTCAATCACATCACAAACAATTGACGAAATACGGTCGAGTGATTTCAAGATTACCGTTTGCTTTCAAACCTTGCTCACTAACAAAAAGGAATTTTATGTTAACATTTTTTTAAATGGGCCTGGGGGTTGGAACAAACACTATACCAACCCGTCTGGATACCGTGGTAAAGTTGTTCAAAACCTCCTTTCTAAGAAGAGGAGTATGTCCAGCAGAGAGCTGTTATAAGGTTGTTAATGAAGGAAAATATTGTTACGTAAAAATGAAATAACATTACAATAATTTATAAAACTTGTATTTGTTTACTTTACTGATAATAATAAAATAAGAATGTGAGCAATCGTTAATTTTTATTGCTTTCGGATCAAACTGTAGCTTAGTGATATTTATTTTTACCTTTTGGTGTACAACAATAACGACTATATGTTTGTTTTATGAAAAATTAACTTACTCATAATACAGTTCTTGCTTACCTAATAATCATTTTAACATACAACTCAAATGCACTCTTATGTAAAGTTAAACCCGATATCGATCAGCGGATTGGCATGGAATGTGACTATTGACCGTACACCCAACATGTGTCAATACATGATCAACAATGGACACCTTGAGTTTACCATGATCACTTCATTCCACCAAGCATATAGAAATATTAACCATTGTTTTGCAATTCGTGTTTCCACTTCACCAATGCGATTGCTTTTAACACCATTTGTAGCATGAAGATATTCGACTATAAGTCCTGAAAAAAATACGTTATTTCGTGAATTGAGTGAAAAATCGATGTGACCGCGATCTTCATAGACCAAGTGTATTGCACAAGTAACCGCATTGTTTACGTGGCATTGTCCAGTTGTCCCCTCGGTCCGCTTCGTACGTGCGTACTTGAATATATTTAAATTTGAAGATACCACCAGGATGAGGCAAGCGTTTTACCAACTACTATAAATGCTCTTAGTGTCAGACTGAGGGTACAGTTCACAGCTCAAAGCATCCCTGAAAACATCTCAACAAACTAGAAAAATGGCAATCAAGGTACGGAACGCGGTTGGATATTGTGAAGTGGATTTCAACAGTGTGTGACAGTGATATCAATAGGATAAAGTGAAAAACTCAAGAATATTAAATAACTGTAGATTTTTTTTTTAAACACAATTCCATTTATTTTTTTTTTCTATGTGTAAGAAGTTCAGTAGAGTAAAAGAAGTGCAGTTTATTTAGTATTATAAACTTCTGTTTCAGTTGGTGGTTCTCTCTTGCCTTTTGGCTTTCGCTCACGGCAGTGGAGTGCCGGCAGCAATTGCAGCTCCTGTTGCGTACACGGCACCTGCCGTTGCAGCCAGGATCGAAGAGTTTGACCCATTGCCACAATACAGGTTCGGTTACGAAGTAGGTGACTCTCTCACCGGTGACTATAAGAGTCAATCTGAACAGCGCGACGGTGACTTGGTACGGGGACAATACTCTCTGGTAGACTCTGATGGCACCCGTCGTATTGTTGACTACGTAGCTGACTCGATTAACGGTTTTAACGCTGTGGTTCGTAAAGAACCTTTGGTAGCTGCTGCTAACGCCGTCGTTGCCGAACGAGTGGTACCCGCTCGTATCGCTGCTGCCCCCGTGGTCGCTCAACAAGTTGCACCTGCGCCAGTTTATGCCCGGTACGCTGCCGCTCCAGTGGCTATTGCCCCTCCAGCCGCTGTTGCCGGACGTGCACCAGTATTTGCCCGATATGCCGCTGCCCCTGTTGTTGCTCGGTATGCCGCTGCCCCTGTTGTTGCTCGGTATGCCACTGCTCCTGTAGTAGCTCCACTTGGTGCCTATAGAGCACCTGTTTCCGCAGCATACACTACCTCAGTGTCTGCAGCGTATTCTGCTTACCCAGCAGCGGCATACACCGCCGCTTATGCAGCCCCTCTTCCTCAAGTCGCTGCTGCTTACTCTGCACCAATCAGGACTGCATACACCGCTCCAGTTCCGGCTGCATACACCGCCCCCTTGGCTGCCTACACTGCACCAGTGGCGCGTGCAGTCGCGCGTCCCACGGCGGCAGCACCAGCTGTATCTACTGTTCGCGCTGCTCCTTCAAAACTTGTGGAGCCAGTTGCCGCAGCCGGTTACAGATACCCTTGAATGCCATACTATGATTAAACGAAATTTTATACCTCTAAAGACTTGATTTTTATATATGACTAGGATTAGATTTTATTTTGTTTATTTTTTATGAAATAAATAATGAGATTATGAGACTCCTTTATTTTAACTTGCGTACCTACATACAAACGATAGAAGATAGTTTGTTATAGTCTTGTCCAGACATATTTATAACAATGAGAAAGACAAAAGTTATAGAATCGACTTATGGACCTAAAATAAATGTAGCATTGATAATTATTTGGTCAACTAATTCTTTTACTCGTATGTTTATTAAATTGCCTTCAAGAGCGGCCATGGACTTTAAGCACACTTTAAGCTCGATATGTCAGCGAGGAGTCGGTCAAGGATTGGTAGTGTCTGGATGTTGTTAACATCACCTTTGGTATAACAGTTAATAAAAATGGGCACAGGATACAGACTAAGATAATTCTAATTAAGCTGTTTGTTCAATTGTTCAAGCTTCAATGCAATAATCGGTATTCTGAGCTTTCGGTATGGTAAAAAATATTGTTTTTAAAGTCTATGTTTATAGTTCTAATAATATTAATTTATAATGTATTAAATTTGACATGTGATACATCTTAATTTTGACATTTTAATATATTTGATGTTACTTCTTCAAAACTGTTAAGAGTTTGCTTTGTTAAATAGGAACATTCACCACACCCCTTTCTATTATGTTATGATCTATAACTAAGAACGGTCTTAACAATAAATGATTATCCTGGAGATATTTGTGAACATGTAGTGTGTGTGTTTCATAACAAGGTAAATAGAAAAAAAAAAACAAAAAAAAATACGGATTGAATACGCGGATTAATATCAATGACCATTGGTCCCATTGGACCTTTAAGGTTTTCATTTTTATTCACTTTTCTACACAATTATATTACGACATACGATATTATTAATTAAAACAGAACGCAAAAATGTGGAAAAAAATCTAAGTGAAAGTACCATTTGTAAGCATGAACACTATGTTTTTATTAGACCAGGCCGAAATTTAACAAAGAAAAACACTAGAATAGCCCACTAGCAGAGCAGATTTAGTAGCATATAACTTGTATGTACTTCTGAACTGTACTTTTGAATATTCTTTTTTATTTGTAAGAATTAGTCAATTTTCATGTAAATACATTACCTTATTGTTAAACATAAACAATAATACCATTTTGCATTTATTTATAAACATGTTCACCCAAACCAAACAGCATGACAAAAATCCAAATTTTGTCATTAATAAAACTCCAACAAACTAGTCTCTATTACTAACAAACTCTTTACTTACGAAATATAATGTACAGCTTACCACGAAACAATATTTCCTATGAATGAATACAGATTAACCTTAAGCTAAATATCGCCTCAGGCACTATAAATTCGTATATAACGCCTGGCGATACTCCTTTCGATATCATTCTGTCATTAGAAGTCAATCAATTCACAACCAAAATGGCATTCAAGGTAATTATAACCAGAAGAATTTAACAACGACAAAGATTATACCTTAGGCGTACATTTATGAACTTTATCTGGATTATATTGTAGTACTGGGTTCAGAACTTAAGAATGTTTAGATATTATGAATCGTATTGAATCTTATAACAAAGCTTGTTTAAATTGTGATAGACCTGATTCATCAACGATTTTTCATTTCTATGTAAAAATTTCTTTGGGAAATAATTTATTACAGTTTAAAAAGTCTGACAAATAGGAAAAATCAAAAACATAACTCTAATTTAAAAGTTAAAATTTGAATTTAAATTTGAAATTAACTATAATCGATTTTGGCCGCAGCCTGTAAGTAATTTCTGTACATCGATAAAAGCATATTTTCTGAATGAAGAGTCCCAAATGTCTATTGCTATATTGTTTGTATAAATAGTTTTAAACTGTTTAATTAAATCGCCCGCTATCTATTAATTAATCATCACATTGTTTTTTTTTGTCACAGTTAGTTGTCTTGGCATGCATGATAGCGGCCACCAGTGCCGGTTTGCTCCCGCAAGTTTCATACGCTGCACCACAGCAGATCGTGCATGCCGCCCCTGCAGCGTACCCCGCCCAAGTAGCATACTCTGGACCTGTCGCTTACTCCTCTCCTATTACGTACTCTGCACCCATTACCAAGGTGGTTGCTCCCCTCACTAAGGTGATTTCCCCTGTTCAAAAAGTTGAGGAATACAACACTCATCCCCAGTACAGTTACGCGTACGATGTACAGGATAGTCTCACCGGAGATTCTAAGAGCCAGCAAGAAAGCCGTGACGGTGATGTAGTGCGTGGATCTTACTCTGTAGTCGACCCTGACGGCATTAAGCGTACCGTGGAGTACACTGCTGATGATCAAAACGGTTTCAATGCTGTCGTACACAAGGAACCCATTGGCCATGTCGCTAAAGTTGCCGCTTACTCCGCCGCTCCAGTCTCGTACGCCGCTGCACCCGCCTACCCTGCGGCCCCTGTAGCCTACTCTTCTCCCGTTTACCATCACTAAAAGTGTGCACTAGTCAAATTACAAAATGAGATGTTAATATTTATTGTCTTTGTTTCTTTTGCGATTATGATCTAATAAATTATTGAAAATATTGTTTGCAGTTTATTTTTACATAATCCAAAGTTAACATCATATGTGCAAAAGAAGGTTTCTTGGAACAAATTAACGTCTAAGAAACAGGCTCATACTAGTCAGGTATCATAGATTATTGTTATTCAAAATGGGTATATAATAGTGGTATTTTGGAACCAACATTACCAACATTCTTCCACTCTTTCAGGCTTTAAAAACTCAAACGATGCTCATTACAGGATATAGAATCTCTCTCATCTAGAAAAATATATATTCTGAAGAAATATATATATCGAAACAGAATTTGGGTTCGATTTAAAAAGTAATGTAAAACCGTTGACCTTTATCAAGGTCAAGGCTCTACAGTCTTTAAGCTAAGAAGGTAATAACGATTAAATGAAACATAAAACAGTTAAGGAGTTGACTTGTTTTTAATAGTTATTTCATCAATGTTTGGGGGGTAGGTGAAATTACGTCTGTTCGCTAAGGAATTACCATTATGAGAAGAACAGACAAGAAACTCATAAGGTTTTTTTTTTCAACAGTCAAACATTATTACAATTTCATTTACTTCAACTAGAAAAACTTAGAAAGTTAATACTCAACATTTAAATAACTATTTTTCAACACTATTTCTTAACAAATTGACTTTAACTCGAATAACTATCGAAATAATAGCAAGACACTAATTTGATTTGGAATCGGGGAGAAATTGGACAAAGGTTCAACACTCACTTGTTTTCCCGCTCAAAATCCGTCACAGACTCCCTCTCAACAATGTTTTTCAAGCCCACCTGTTGCCACTCTGGCGGCAACGTCTAGTTGCGCGTCAAAACGGAGGCAGATGGCGCTAACGTATTTTCGTAATATTAAATTTACCACAAATAACCATATTAAGAATTCCAAATCAAGCCTTAATTATTTAAACAATATTACAAATAAGTTCTGATAGTCTAAAGCAATCAAAACATTTAAAATAGTAAAAATAACTTACATTGAAAGTACTCACAAAGACTTGCATCAAATTAACTCACCAAAATTAAAACTTCACGTTAATACAGTATTATGAATTACAATCTTGTTTAAAAATTCTAATTAGACTTTAGAGAGTGAAATTTATAATCAAAAATAATTAATAACAATAATCAATTTAATTAATTTCCGGCGCCTCCAAAACTCTGCTGCGACATATATGATTCCTTCAGAATATATATATTTCCGAATATATAAAACCGTCTCAATGAAGAAATCAACACTTTAGTTTTTTTTCTAAAAAAACGGGATTATAACTAAGAATACCTACCAATAATAAAAAATAAAAATAATTTTAATGTTCATTAAGTAGGTGTGTAAATTATTGTGTTTGTACCTACTCATAAATTGCCTACAAAAATGGGAAGTTCATGTGATCCACCCAATCAACTGTTCAAGAAGGAACAATAATGGTAGAGAAGGTTGATTGTATAACTATAATCAACCATAACTGACGTCATGATAATCAATTTTTTTTAAGTCAGATAAAAATGATTTCAATTGAAAAAAACTTCAGCGCACTTTAACGAAGCTACAGTCCGTAAGTCATGATCATGTAACGAGGTCAGAGGCAGGGCCGGATTTACCATGTCGGGATCCTTAGGCAATGCGATCCTCGGGGCTCCTTATTACCCGTTTGAAGACTATAAGCTATTTGTAAGTCGATTTGCATAAGCAGTGCCACGTGATCTGTGCTCCGTCTCCGTGCTCCGTAATTTTTTTACAAGCCTCTTTAATTTCGTTGTTGGTCTTTTTCACATAATCTGTTAGAATTCAAACATATAATTAATTTTCTTCTAGTCACTGCGACAATTATGAATACGGCAGGTTTAGGACAGGCTAATATGTATGTTTAACTTATCTTCTTCTTTGGTCACAATTTTATCTGCAGATCCGTCAAAGTGATGCCTTTTTCTTCTTCGCACACGCTGATTTTCATCACTGTTCTCAGTATCACTTGCCTCATTTGCTTTAGTATCGTAATCGTCGAATAATTCTTGCAGAGATAGCAAAACATCTAAAAGCGATTTAAAAAAACTAACTGCAATTCGCAGTTCAAGAGTTGATTTGTAAAGATATGCTGACACCATTGTTTCGACTTAGTAAAGCAGCCCAAAAAATTGTCCAGAAGTGTTATTTTTTCCAAATCCTCCGGCGAACCACGAGGCTTAATGTCTATTGAAAACATCAAGCTTCGTGGATACCTTGCTTTGTCTATCTAAACACTATTGTTTACGATAAGATAGACAAAGCAAGGTATCAGAAAGCTTTGCAATCTATATTGCAAAGCTTTCTGGAAACTCTTGTATACTTCTAACAAAGCCTTAGTCACATCGACTCTTGCACATTTTTTTCAGCACTAAATCATTACGCCAAGCAATAAGTTGGCGCCAAAAAAAAAATTTTTATCCTGTACCTGTACAAATCCGAAAAATAAGTTTGCTATAATATAGCTCTCCGCAGCACATACTCCAACCAAATTTAGTTAGTGTTTTATTTAATACATAGAACATTGTGTCCAAGACTATTTTTTAACACAATTTATTGGTAAATTATTACAAAAAAATTATTGCAACAACCAGAATATTTGAGCACAGTATAACCTTTCATTTAATCAGAAATTCATTTACGGTCACAAAACTTACAAATCGCAATTACAGATCAAGAAATTCAAATCTTTTGTTTTTCATCCAAGACGTTAAGCATCCATATTATTAGTTCTACTATTCGATAGCTGATGGTGCTATTTTGTACGCGCTCGGGCCCCCCAACTGATGCAGTTGGATTCTTCTTTTGTGTTCAAAGAATATACCATCTGTTCTTTTACAAAAAACAGAGGACTGTATTGGCTCGTCGTCATTTATTAATTTAAAAAAAAACTTATTACATTACAATTAACATACCTATGTTATCACATGCTGAAATATATATTAAATTATTTTGTAATATTCAAGTCAAGGGATATAAGCTGAAATGCTATTAAAGCTTTGACTTTAGTTACCGAGTTCATCAGTTATGAGGTTTTTATGATATTTTACGAGTATATTTACCGTTTCTATTGTTTCTTTGACTCCGGCGTAACTATTTCGTTATATCCCTGCTGGGCAGGAGACGGTGGCCTAAGGGTATTAAGTAATTTACCAAAGTCCAAGCACTTCTAATGAAACTTTTTTTTTCAGTTAATAAATAATATTAAACATACGAATGTTACTAAACATACGGATGACCGAGTGTTAATATGATAAGACTTTTTTGCGACATACTAGAAAATGAGTGAACCTAATATTTATGCTAGACATCGCTTTTAGAACGAAATAAAAAAAACAGTAACATTAGTTTCATGAATTTCATGAGGTATTGTTGAGCCCGCGACACACTGGCCACATCGTACGTGTGTACTTGAACATATTGAAATTTAAATTAAGTAGTAGTAGTAGAAGTAATTGTTCTAAAAGCAATAAATGCCGTAAATTTCAAACTACGGACACAGTTTACTCCTCTAAGCATCCCTGAACACATCTCTAGAAACAACTGAAATGGCATTCAAGGTATGGAGTGCGGTTGGATTTTACAAAGTGTTTAACTAGTGTATTTATGTGATAGTGTCATTAACATTGGACAAGTGAGATAATACAAAACAATCAACGCTTATGACGCAATAGTAATCATAAACGATCTTTACATAGTATAACATGAAGTCGCTTATTTTTCTTGTACGCTTAGATCTTCCAAACTGCTACATGGTTTTTAATGGTTTTTTCATCAATAGAGAGAGTAATTCCAGAGGCGGGTTTCTTTACTTGTATTATACATAGAAACCCGCTCTTGAATCAATCTCTCTATTAAAATCCTTTGGCCAGTTTGAAAGATATAAGCGTACATAGAAAAAAGGGGAATTAATTTTATATTATGTTAAGATAGTTTAATTAACTACTCCATACTGACACCACATTAGTGGTAGTAGTAGTATCTATTACATTGCATCCGTGCGAATCCGGGCGGATCGCTAGATACGCTAGAAAGTGGAATTTGAAATTAAGTACGTTTGGGAACCTGATTACATACCACCGTATGTAATCAGGTTCCCAAACGTACCTAATTTCTTTACCAGGTCACACTAGACGTAGTCACATGCTGACTGATATGGCGTCAACATGAGATAGCGTTAATTTTTGAGTATATTTTAATTATATCGTGAAACAAAAACGTTTAAACTAGACTTGCAACGAATATTCGGTTACTATTCGGTATTCGGCCTATTCGGCTGCTTTTATTATATTCGGCCGAATACCGAATATCTACATATTATTCGGCCGAATACCGAATACTTAAATAATATATTTTGTCATTGAGAAATAATTGGTAAAATGAAAAATTAAAATCGATTGATTACGTATATATTCATATTTTCATTTCTGTTATAATCATTTAAGTAGTCATTGGTGCATAACACAGGTACATAATCATCTTCTGAATTTTAAAAAATGGAGGATTCTATCTATTTGAATTATTGTGGTAATCAAAATTTAGAAGGGTAAGGTTCTCATTTCTTTTATAATCATTTATTAAGTAGTCATTGGTACATAAAACAGGTACATAATTTAATTCACGTCTGTACAAGTTTTTGGCGCTAAAATCCAGCCGAATACTTTTGCCTAATATTCGGCTATTCGGTCAGGGGCCTCGCCGAATATTCGGTATTCGGTATACTGCCGAATATACTATTCGTTGCAAGTCTAGTTTAAACTATTGTCTTTCACAAACCCTAGCTTAGCTAGCGTTCTCCTAGCGGTTTTGACTTTCTTTTGTTAGTACAAATGGTACTATACTTGTAATTCTCATGTTGGTATGGTTCTCATCGGTAGCAAAATCACTTGATATTAACGTCTAAAAATGAGCTTTTTTATAATAAATTAAATCAATAAGAGGCTCCGCAATATCTTGATGGGATATCATTACTTTTTGTACAGAAATTATTAGTATTCATTATTAATACATTGTTATTTGAAAAATTACTCTATTGTCCCACGTTTACGTTGTATAGTTTTCTTTTTTGTGCTATGCCTTCGAAATATGAGAGTGAATTGCCCATTCATTTGCAATTTTTCTTACACGTTTTCTGTTTATTTTTAATTTGGCCAAGTCGGGGCGGTATAACGTGGTTGTATTCAACTATATGCGTTGATTTGATTTGGATCGAGATTTGTAAGATGTACTCCGTCTAAGGTTTTAACACTCTAGAGTGCAACGTAAGCTTGCCATTTGCTAAATATTGAGGATGATTGAGAGATGATGAGATTCTAATTTTAGCATTATGATGCAGAATAAGGTATTAATACCCACGGGAATTAAACGATGAATAAATCCTTTTAAATAAAAAGTTGAACCGACTTCAAACAATACTGACAAAGGGCACTAAAAATAAAAAATAATAATTACTAATCTAAATAAAAAAAAACTATAATAAGTCCCCCAATATAACAGGTAACATTATATTAGCAAATAGTCCCTTCTAGTATGTATGAAGTCGGTGTATAGTACCAACCTGTAGTACGTTAGATTATATTGAATATACTTTAATAAGTCCGTTACTTTATTTAGATAAGCTAGTAAGATATTACATTTGAACTCGAAAATATATTGTTTTCCTCATTACTTAATTTTCCAAAACTCGGAGGAAGTTTTTTCAAATAAAAACAGAGTTTTCATAAGTGTTTTTAGGCAAAAAACATGAAAATAATTGGGTAACAATATTTTCTTTTGTCTAAATGTTTTGTAATCTCATTTATTATTCTCTTGTGGACATGTCTCTGTAACCTCACACTAACAACCAACAAATATCTTGAAAGAATAAAACAAGATCAATATGTATTTTATAACTCCTAAAGGTCCTTCGATCATCAGTTCAGCAGGATGACATAACGACGACTAAACGCAAATACCTATAAGCTACCGAAATAAGCTAAAACACGATGTCGGGGCTGTACAATTTGAGGGTTTACCTCGATTTCTCTAGGATTAAATTATCAGATCCTGATTTGGTGGTAATGAAACCATCTTGGAAGTATATATCCTTTCGATTACAAAAATAATATTGAAATGCGGTCCACAAAAACATACAAAAAAAAACAGACGAATTCATAACCTGCTCTTTTGTGTTTTTGAAGTCCATACTTCCATACTTAAATTTGTTATTACTTTGTTACTAACTAATTATCAAAAATGTTTAGTTTTTAGATTTTTGTAAATATATGCCCAATAGGCTACCTTGATACCAAATATCAAGTTTCTAGGTCATCTGGAAGTGGGTTAGGTTTTAAATCTATAAGTCACTGAGTGAGCCAGTCATAAAAATGCCGGTTTTTAAACGTTAATAAATAAATAACTGTATGACTAGTCAAGCTAAGGATTTTTAATAAATGTGCCAAATTTAGCTCGAAATGGTTCGTGTAATATTACATACGGCTGCTGCATCTCCAGTTCCTTTGCTTTGTACTTGGCTGAATACGTTGCCGCGTGTCTCGAAACATGGCTCCATGGTTTTTAGACTTCTGGAATGATTACAATTAATAATTCAAAGATTTTTGTTTCAGTTGGCGGTTTTTTCTTACCTCCTGGCTTTTGTTCACGGCAGCATAGTACCAAGACTCATCAACTCAGTGAACGCGGGTACATATGCTGCAGCTTACAAAGTTCCTGTAGCGGTTGGAACAGAAGACTGCGACCCATTACCGCAGTACAAATTCGGCTACGATGTGGCAGATACTCTCACAGGGGACTACAAAAGTCAAGTTGAGCAACGGGACGGCGACCTGGTCCGGGGGCAATATTCTCTTGTGGAATCTGATGGCACTCGCCGCGTAGTTGAGTATACTGCTGACTCTATTAACGGTTTTAACGCTGTTGTTCGCAATGAGCCTTTAGCTTCATCTTCCATTACAACTGAGCCTGCCGTGATACCTGCAAGAGTAGCTGTAGCACCTATTACCACTCAACCCACATTTAATTCCGCTACAGTATTTGCCCGATACGCTACTGCTTCTAAAGTTGTGGCTCCGCGAGTAATCGTGTCTTCAGACTCCGCACCAGTATTTTCTCGCTATAACACTCCAGTAAAAACCACTTACAAAGCTGCATATACTGCTCCTGTATCTGACACATATTCTGTATCCGTGCCCGTTTCATACCTAGCGCCTGCAGCCGCCCAATACACTGCTCCGAATACTGCCCCATACTTGGCATACGCCGCCACCTACTCTGCACCGTATACGGGGTCGTACAAAGCTCCTGTGGCACCTGTCTATTCAAATGTTGTTGCGAACTCCTTCTCCCCAGTAGTACGTTTCTACCCCGAGACATCAGCTCCTGCTGCTATTACAGCTGTTCGGGCTGCTCCCGTAGTTACCGATGGTTGCTCTTAAATTTAAATGTAAATGAAAAGGCAAACCATATCATGGGTTTTGAAACATTTTCTGTATTGTGTAATTTTCTAATGTTTGTCTATTTTTATAAAACATAAAAATAAATTAATCATATTGTTATTCGTAGTTTTCTTATTTTTATTCTTATTTCTTAGAGGTATGAATTTTTAGAAATATAAGCAATGAATAAATATAATAACCGTACTTAAAATACTTATTAATTAGGTTCGATCGTTAGGCTTATAAGTCGTCCAGATATTTTATCTTACTAAATACCACCTGGTATCAGAGGAGAAGATATCAGAGAGAATCAAAGGGTACCTCTAGAAGGAGGTACCCTAAACAATTTAATTTTCATGATTTTATTTGACCACTTCGTCACTATGATGAGTATTTATGTTCATACGAAATCACAAGTTTCTAGCACAAATAGTCTGTAGTGTAGACATACGAACGGAAATGACGAACTTATAAGGGTTCTGTTTTTGCCGTTTTGCCTATAGAACCCCAAAAACGGCACGACATAGAAACCTGTTAATATTTTTATTGCTTTTTGAAGTAGTCTCCGTTCTTTTCTGAGCACAGCGCGGAACCACTGCCTGAAGTAGTGAGGCCCCTCATCTTTAGGGATCTCTTCCACGCTTTCTTCAAATACAGCCACGGCACCTTCAGGGATCTTAAAACAAATTCCTCCAATAAAACACCTTATACAACAGCATTTTGACGGATTAGATTGAAGTTATTATAAAAATTGGCTTCGAAATTGTTCCATTTGACAGTTTTAATTCTATAACTGCGTATGAAAAATGTACATGTACTAATAAAATCTATATTTGATCGTATTCTTGGAAATTAATTATTGATTAATTATTAATTAATTAATTTATTGACATATAAACATTAAATTACATTTTTATTAAATTCTTTGTCCTTGTAATAACAGTGTCTATTGCGTGTCTGCGTGTATTGACTGACTATTGCATTTGGTGACGACAGAATTCTAAGACTTGGGCATGTGCTGCCAATTTTCTCGGTTTTTTACCATTTTTTTGTGTTAAAACTGCTGAACTTGTGGTTGGTGTAGTTTCAATACTATAACTTAATTCTGAATCCAACAATGCTCATTGACTTATATGTTTGACTCTTCTTATAGCTTTGATACTTTAAATCTTTTTGAGTCCGTTCGGCCAGTCCAATGGTCTTGTTCCAAGCTGGAATCCACCTTATACACTCTTGGTATATGTAGAGGAACTTCGCTTTACTATTTGTCAGTTATTCTATTCGCTGCCATAGCTTAAACGTACTCCCCTTAACTTTTTCAACTTTTCCGTCGCTCCTTTACACCATTTGGGATGGTGTAATGTCCAATATATTTGAAAAGTAAAATTAGTGTTAGAAATAATTATACTCCAAGTGAATATTATTACACGATTACTAAATATAACTAAACTTATAAATTCTCTTGAATTTCTATTGGTGAACGCTTACGGAATTCCAATACGTGACATGTTAAATAATCACTCGGCCGTATTTCAATGAACTTGAAACGAAAGGCCTTGAAAGCATTTCGCACTTGACCTTGAATATAATATATGGTTATAAATATACGCATATACTATAAATATTGTATGCCTTGGATAATATTCTTCTCTAACTATTGAACAAATTAATGTTTAACAGTTTCATGTGGCATTGTTGAGCACGCTGAACGGTGGTCAGTTTGTACGTGCGTACTTGAATATATTCAAATTTGGAAGTGCCACTAGAATGAGGCAACTGTTCTGCCAAGTACTATAAATGCTGTTAGTGTCAAACAAAGGATACAGTTCATAGCTCGAAGCATCCCTGAACACATCTCAACAAAACATTAGAAATGGCATTCAAGGTATGGGACACAGTTGGATTTTGTGAAGTGTATTCTAACAGTGTGTGAAAGTGAAATATCTAAGTGAATAACTTTTTTAGTTTGTGAAAATTTGTCGTTCTTGGTGAACTGTAATAACCAAAAATCTTAGTATATATTATTTTGTACTCACCTACTCCTCTAATAATATTTCTAGTTCTAACAAACACAATATAAAATTAAAGAGGGCTTAATAAACAAAATTTCTTTATTTCAGTTGGTAGTTCTCTCGTGCCTTCTGGCTCTCGTCCACGGTAGCGCTGTTCCAGCAGCTATTGCAGCTGCGCCTGTAGCTTACGCTGCGCCTGCCGTTGCAGCTAGGCTTGAAGAGTTCGACCCTTTGCCGCAGTACAGATTTGGTTATGATGTGGCAGATTCTCTCACTGGGGATTACAAGAGCCAGACCGAACAGAGGAATGGTGATCTAGTACAGGGACAATACTCGTTGGTGGATTCTGATGGTACTCGACGCGTGGTAGACTACACTGCGGACTCTATAAATGGTTTCAACGCAGTTGTCCGCAAGGAACCTTTAGTAGCTGCCGCCCCCGCTGTTGTTGCTGAGCCTGCTGTAGTTCCAGCTCGTTATGCCGCAGCACCTATTGTTGCTCAGCCTGCTGCACCTGTTGTAGCACGATACGCCGCTGCCCCCGTTGCCGCTGCTCCGGTTGTAGCTGCTCGATATGCCAGCGCACCCGTTGCTACCCCGGTGGTAGCTGCCCGATATGCCACTGCGCCTGTTGCAGCGCCGGTTGTAGCTGCCCAATATGCCACCGCACCTGTAGCTGCCCGATATGACACCGCTCCCATCGCCGCTCCAGTTGTAGCTGCCCGATACGCAGCCGCACCTGTTGCTTATGCTCAATATGCCCCATACGTTGCTCGCTCCGTGCCTGTAGCTGCCGCATATAGAGCTGCATATACTGCTTCGGTGGCTCCTGCCTACAGTGCTCCTGTAGTGGTAGGTTAATTGGTACAATTGAATACCTATTTCTAAGAAAACTACGCTTGAAGACTTGAATTGTACATATGACTGTTTTTTATATTTGTTTTATGGTTTTTTTTTTATTATAAAAGAATTACATTTTTGCACTTACAAGATTTTTTATTTTATTTTCTTGCAAAAAACTAGCAAGGTACATCAAAGTATCTAAATATTGTGAGTATACGTATTTTAAACTCATTTTATCGTGGTTTACGCATGATAAAGCATTATAAAGAATAAACAAATCAGTAAGCAGTATGTGTTTAAAATATTAACACATGCTGCCTACTGATTTGTTTAATTTGGTGTAAATAGGCAAAGCAGTGACTAAAGACAACTTTTGGAAAAATGTTTGGAAGTAAATTGTGAAATAATAATTGAATTAAATGCTTAAAACTCGATTTAATTCGTTGTTGCCGTTTAATTCTAAACAAGTTGTTGTGTATTACAGCTGCATTAAAATAAAAAAAATATCCTATCAATATCGGGTTAAAATCTGTAGTGGTTGTGATCCTTTCTTCTTAAAACAATCAGACTCTCAGTATTGTATTATCCTTCATAGAAATGTACCGAACTGGATTATTTTAAACTTATAACTAAAATAATACAGAACGAAATTGAGAGTGTTGTTTATTAAACTTTAAATTACGTTAACTAATATACAAAACAGAGAAATTCCCGAAAAAAAATAACTTTACAAAATCACAAAGAAATTTAGTTTTGTAACCGACTCCAAAGCCTCAAAAGGACGAGGTTCTGAATTCGCATGTATTTTATGATTATATTATGATATTTAATGATTATTACCCCATATCTACGTCATTTATAAACCAATTTACCAAACTCTTTTTGTATTTGAAATAATTTTTATCTTTAAGAAAACTTATCTTCTATGTTGATGCCATGTGAATTTTATGACTACGCGTTATTTAGGAGTCATATTGGACGATCACCTATCGTCCCAATCCCATATCAATATGCTGTCTGGCAGAGTGCGCAAACTCATTTTTGTATTCAAACACCTTAGGCATGTTGCCGACCCTGATGTAAATAAAATGGCTATTTCTACTTGGGGTAAGGCAGCAAAATCCCATTTAATGAAAATTGAACGTGCACAAAGGGCGGTACTTAAGGTGTGCACTTTCAAGCCCTACCGATTTCCGACAACGGACCTATATACATACTGTGAAGTCCTTACAGTGCGTAAAATCTTTATCTTACAAACAGTATTGAAAACACACAGGGACCATGAGCGTGCCAACTCTTAACACTATTCTCTGACACAGGTGCGCCCAAAGCGTAAAAATATCGTTCAAAGACATTCCCGTTGTAACACCTCTTTTGCACATAAATCTTACTATTTTCTCGGTAGATACCTGTACAACAAGCTAAATAACTGCTTACACTTTCACGACAAAAGTAAACACGCGTGTAAGAAAATCGTTCAGGACTACCTTCAGAAGCTTACATACGAAGAAACGGAGTCAATTATCCACACCGCAATGTGACGGTTACTGTAAGATGATATACAAGATGAGAAAACACACACACACACACACACACCACAAACACACACATAAAACACTCATACACACACACATACACATGCATGCACGCGCTACACACATCAGATGAACGAAACTGTTTTTATTTTGTTTTATATTTATAGTGTATTTTATTTTATGTAGAACCTATTCAGTCACATATAATTAATTCATGTACAGAGCTAACTAAATTCTATTTGAGCAGCTAATATCCTGTGTCACTGGAAGGTTGCTGATGCTTAAAGCACAGGTTATCCTTTTTTAAGCATTAGTAGATTAAATGTTTTGCTAACTAAACTTACGTACAATAATGTAGCTCATACACATTTGTTGTAAAGAATTTTGAGACAATAAACTTTATTATTATTATTATGGAAAGTCACAGTTCTACATGATTAACCGAATCACCATTGGGCATTAGGGAAATGCTGCTGAAACACAATGAAATCGAACCATTTTTCTAGCACGGAAAAAAAAAGGGGGATGAAAGCAAGCGATCATGGTCAAAAACTACCACACACAACAATAATTACCTTATTTGCCAACATCAACATCATGTTGGCACAACAAGTTGTTGGCCTTAACGTAACATGTTGAGAATTTGATAGGATTGGAATGGTATTGTTTATTATGAGCGAAACCTTACAATTCGATCCTGTACGGAGGCTTCAAAACTCGATCGTTTGAAGGATAGCAATCTTTTTTTTTTTCAAAAAACTTTAATCACACTTTATTTACATTTGTTTACAAGTTCTCGATTCGCCAAACTGTTCTAACAGTTTGTAGGCGTTCCGCTCAATTTATAATAACCTAAGTACTTAAATGCTAGTTTTTAAATTCCTCCTACAACGGTGTACTAACTCAACAAACAAAATAATTTCAAGACAAACAATACATAAATATGTGTAACCTGACTATTTCCTGGGTACCTGCTTCCCTATTTATGTACGCGTTTTAATCTATTGCCATATCCAAACATTTCTTTTAGTCTTAGTTTTAGTTTAAACTTACATTTTATTTTCTTGTCCTCCCTTAGTATTTGATATTTATTACATAACTTTGGTACTACATACTTCCTGGTCCTTTCCCCATAATAATTATTTACTTTTAACTGCTCTAATTTTCCCTTCTTTATTACTCTGACACTGTATTACTCTGACACTAAAAAAGCGACCAGAATTTGTAAACATAATTGGATGTGATTCATTATGATAATCCGTGTTAGTTACATTATTTATAACCCAAGAACGGCTGAACCGATTTGGCTGAAAATTGGTGGGGAGGTAGCTTAGAACCAGGAGACGGACATAGTCCATATTCTTTTTATCCCGTTCCCGTGGAACGTGACATAAAAAGAAAAATTTATCAGTCAAAACATCAGTCTAGCCGTCCTTTGTTAAAAATAGTAAAACAAAATGTAACTGACATGGAATAACAAAACGCAACTGACAGCTAAACGTAATGTTGTCTATGGGTAAGTATGGTTGAAAATTGTACAATTTGAAATTTTGAATTTGACCGGTTGATGTGTTTGTTTCGAGTTTCTATTGGCACAACGCCAATAGAAACTCGTTGTTGTGGCGATATTATCATTAACAATACCATGCCGCGACCAAGACGATTAAATCTTTCACGACAAAGCCGTAATGCAACTAGGATTCGAAACATTGCGAATGAAAGGACTGAAGAAGAACAAGAAATTGCACGGGAAGAGCGCCGCGTAAGTGTGGCTCGACTTCGTGCTTCTCAATCACAAGGGCAAAGCGAGGCAGTCCGTGAAACGGCTCGGTTGGCAATGAAAAATCGTCGAGCAATCCTCAGAGATGAGCAACTAGATAATTTTCGACGCACAATAAGAAATTTATCAAGTACTGATTTGAATCAAGCAGCGTTTCGATAAGATTGCAGTACTGATTACTGCTTACATACTAGCGTTCGCATTGGGCTAATGGACGTTGTTTGCGAGTGTTGTGGCGCATTGAAGTTTTCCGGAGATCCAAGATTGTGCTGCCTTAGTGGGAAAGTGAAATTGCCATTATTGACTCCGCCACCTGAGCCATTGCATTCATTGCTTCGTGGCGAAATACCCGAATCATGACATTTTCTAGCAAAGACTCAAATATACAATAGTTTCCAAATGACCTCATTTGGGGCAGACATTATCGAAGAACGAGGATTTAATCCGACGTTCAAGTTATTTTTGTACTTACACACAATACAGTAGAATAATAACATACTATACTTATTCCTATGTATGCTAAGTATGAAAAAAGTGTTTTTAAATCATTAATACTGACTTTGCTTTTAATTTTGTAGGTTCAGGGCAGATTCACCATCGAATTGGGTCATTGCAAACTCTCGAAGATGCACAGCATACATTTTTACAAATATACTTCATAGGCAACATCGAGGAACAACTTGATCGACATCAAGAGATCAATGCAGCAATGGAAAGAGCGATTCTTCAAGATCTGCAGCAACTACTTCATGAACATCATGCGTTGGTCAGGCTGTTCAAGAGTGCTTTGGAGCGCATGCCAAATAATGACTACAAAGTCGTGATCTGGAACACACGAACGCACAGAGAAAGAAATAAGGGTATTACACAGTTGACGACTATGTAAATATGAACAAAAAGGAAACTACTCTGTTTACTAACTTATTTCTAGATTAATATAAATCTGATTGTTATCTGAATTTGTAGGCTTATTATTTCCAATTTTTGTTTCTGTGAGTTTTCGAGTTACTTTTTAAATCATTTTTATTCATTAGAATTTCTTACTTAATTCAAAAGTGATTAATATATTTTTTAACAGTTAATGAATAGCTTGATTTTAAATAATAGGTACCATTCATTTATAAGTATTATTACTGTTAAAGTATTAAAAAAAAAGTTATATCTTTGGTTTTCACTGCTATTTGTAATCCATTTTATTTTAACCAATCCCTAGCATTGCTAACAAGGATTTACATACAACGAAAGATATTGTATTGGTGCCACATAACATATTGGAGTAAAATGCACTGTAGCTCCTGAGGATTAAGGTTCAAAACAATTTGTGTTCTATACATTTCACCGTTGTTTTGCAAGTGTGTACGAGTCTCGTATCTATTTGTTTGTATTTTATGTATGTATTAAGATGAAGTGACATCGGCTTTGGAAATAATCGGGCGCTTATTCATTTCTAGTTTCTATTTACTACGATTTCTGTGATGATAAACAACCACAAACATGGATGATTCAGGACATATATAGACGAAACTTAATTTTAAACTTTTGATGCATCAACAACATACTTTGCAACGTCTGACTGCTGTTTGTTTCTGCTGCAACACTCTCTTTATATGCAATATTTTTTCATAATCCATGTGGACCTGCCATATCCCTTACTGAACCATCTTGACTGGTAGATAATGCCATGTGACATTAAGTACGCCTCG